ATGATGATAAATAACATAGTTATGTATAATATATTACATTTCTGACTGTATATCCCTGTAATTATTACACACTGTAGCTTTAAAATGTGCACACTAGTTGATCCCAAATGCACACTTGGTGATTTTCTCAGGCCTCTTTGTCTGACTGTTAAATGCGTGAGCTTTAATGTCATCATATGTGCCCGCCCACAAGGGTCCACTAATCTCTGTGGATATCTGCATGCATGCAGCCCAGATTTCTAAAGAGGGGTTTAACTGGATCCACCGCATCGGTCCTAACAGCTGTTATGACCCCCTTACTGAAATATAATACTATATCACTTATCTTCAGCAAGACTTAGAGTTGTCACCTTCTAGATGAGCTCTAGAGCAGTTTTTCCCAAACCTTTTTGACATGTGTAACCCTATGTTCCAAAAGTGGAACGTACAATAACTGATTATAAAAGAAAAACTGTTTTACTCAATCTTTTAATTGGAGCGTTTAACTATTAGGCATGTTATGCTTTCTATCTCAAATCACGAAAGCACGAATATGTTGTCTGGAAGTTAGTAAGGAATTGAAATAAATATAAAATAAAATCACATTATAAACCTGTTTTTATAAACTGGAGCTCCTCTGACTAACTCCCTTATAAACACATTAAACTTAATGAATTGGGAACAAAATAAAGAACAAAAATTATAGTCAGACTGACTTAATTAGTTTTAATTTGTTTTCATCAAGACACGTGAGCTGCTTTGATGAGCTCTTACAGCTATGAAGTATGAAAATCAGCTGATCCCAGGCTGTTCTCTACATCCAGTCTGTTCCTCTGTTTGGTTTGTATGTGTGTCACAGCTTAAGGTGAACTCAAATAAAAAACATAATTTTTGGTTGATATAGCTTGTTTAATTTTTCAATTGCATCCTCATTAAGCAAAACAGAGCCCAGCCGTATTTTATTTCACTACCTAAGAAATAAAATATTTTCATGTACCCTTTGCAATTCACTCGCGGACCACTAGGGGTATGGTACCCCTGGTTGGGAATCACTGCTCTAGAGCAGAGGTCACGGATTAGCGGAGCAGGGTCCGGACCCACCTGCTGGCTAAGCCAGACCCAACCTGATTTAAAACATTTATAAATTGCTGCATGTTGTCCGACAACAGTTGCGCAGTTTCTCCTGTTATTATGGTAAAGCCCTGCAGAGCGTTCAGCACCAGGCTACACGTGATATAAATTTGCCAATGAGCTGCTGTCAGTCTGGGTTGCTGCTGCTGCTACTTTTAGAAACAGCAGGCAAACCTGTGGAAAGCCGGATGATGGAAAAGAAGGAGAAGAAGATGAGAAAAAGAGAGCAGAGAAGGGTGGACGGCTGGAAGAACTGGTGACAGAAAAGTGAAATGGTGCTCAAAGATGACCCTGCATATTTAGAGGATGTTTGGCTCAACCTGCTGCTGTGAAGCAGGATTCTCCACCATGAACAGAATCAGAAATAAATATGGAACCAGGCTTAAAATGAGCACCTTGATACTGTATGTGCTTGAGAATGGCTTTGTCTCCATTCAAACCCAGGTTTAAAGCCTTGCAGGGCAGCATAAAGCCCACTGCGAACATTAAGGCAAAAAAAAAGAAAAAACAAAACAGTCAGTTCATGTGTTTTATAAAATATGTGAATCAGGACATTGTCTATATACCAAACTGAATGATTGTTGTTCTCTACTTAAAAAAACACTTTAGATTAAAAAAAAAAAAAAAAAAAGTTCAATTTTTTTATATTTTTTATTTAAAAATTCAGCGTAACTTATAAGTAAAAATGTCTCCGGACCTTTACTGATTTTTAATTGGTTACCCCTGCTCTAGAGCAACAAATCAACAAATGGCTCTTTGGTTAATTTAACATAATAAAGAGTAACTTATTGCTTTGGGTTTTATTATGTCATTATTTTGCTCTGTGCTCCCATGAAAAAAAATGGCCCCACCCCCACTAGTACACATGGTTTAGAACTAGAACTGTTTTTATGGACAGATTCCTTTTCTTTTACAGGACAGTTGACAACCCTAATTATCAGCTCAACTCAGAGGGTAGCTGCAAACCTATATTATTATTGAACAAATGTAATAAATCCAAAAACATGATTTTAAATAGTCTCTAATCAAAATAAAACTTCCTAGAAAGTCATTTCACTGTTTTCAGGTCTGCATAGCGCATAACTTGGCGTTATTTTATGTCTTACCAATTAAATGCAGTTGTAAATGTAGGATGGAATTAATTCATTTAAGAAAATAAAACACGATTTATCTTTTTTTACTACTGCGTTAACAAAAATAAGTTTATAATTTGAAGACATGGTGTCATCAGCTAGAAAGCTAGAGTGGAAGTCGGTTGATTGAGCCAAAAAAGGCAAAAGGCCTTTAAGCAAAAGATTTGAGCAGTAACTCTGCTAAAAATAATTATAAATGACACCAGTCCAAGCACATATTCTAAAGGTAAAGATTGAGATTCTTTGAAGTAAAAAAACAACAAGAAAATAAAAAGTATTTGCGAATTTAATTGTATTAGCTTTAGCTTCACTTATCTAAGCCTAGCTGTGCATTTTCCTTCAGAAATAGTTTTAAAATCTGATACAACAACAATAAAATTCTTGATATTAGCATTTTGTCATTAGGACATATTTTATAAACTCTGCAGAATATCATGTATTTTTATATTCATGTGTCTCAATGAGGTTATTGTTATTTCCAGAGATATTTGTTCACCTGATATGCAGCCAGGAAAGCATAGGTGTGGTTCCCCCTCCGAATACCCAGACTGTGAAGAAGACAATAAGTAGCGTTGTGGTAAACATCATCTGCCGAGCGTAGGTGGCCGTGTCCCGGATAGCCAAGGCGAACGCCATAGCCCCACGTAAACCTAGAAACGTCGGCATCCCAAACTGTTAGGCGCTACATTTATTGAGATTAACCATGTAAGTTAGACCATGTGTTTTTATTTGGTACCTGCAAACATCATCATGTGCTGGAAGTTTCCTCTGATCTTGTCCCTTCTACCAAGGTTGAGGAGGAAGGACAGCGGGTAAATGTTGAGCGCTCTGCCAAGAAAAATGGCCATCTGACACAAGTTGGTCAAGAAGTCCAATCCAATTAAGCCGTAGGGAATTTCCAAAAGTTATAGTATTTAATTTTTAAGTTTTTCCCTTTTTTTTGTTTGTTTGTTTTCAGGGAATTGAAAAGGATACAAAAGCTCCAGCGATAAAGATGGGACTGAAAACATGCTTCTGGAAGGTGAACAGTGCCAAACCCATGTAGGAGAAAATGAAATTCTCAGCCAGGAAGTGAAGGACCTCAAAAAGCTGCAAATTAAAACACAGTTTTTTGTTTATCAGTTTGGAAATCATAAACATGATTTCTAAGTAGATTCACACAGCTTAAAGATAAAATGAAAAAACAACCAAAAAAAAAAAACTTTTCTTTTTTCTGTATGCAAAGTGTGACTTCCTCAGAAACAAACAAAGCTAGCCTGTATGCTGATCCAAAAGTGTCACACTGCATGCTGTTTACATGCTAATCTGCACAGCCTGTCCTGAAGTCTGAGTCCCCTCTGGGAAACCAAGCAGTCATGTCAGGACGGATGTCCTCAAACAGCCCCGATTAAGGTCACAGCGGGCTGATCATGGTGCCATCTGGTAATACTACCCTGTTCAGACTGCAGGGAGTGCAGGGGGTTCAAAACAGAGGGGGCTGCATGGGATGGGGCAGATGCTACCTGCTTGGTGCGCTTCGTGGACTCTTCAGAAAGGTTGTTGTACGTGTAGTGAGCCTGCGTGATGCCACAGAAAAGCACAGCCACAACACCTGTCAGGTAACAAGAAACGTGTCAGAATGATCTATAACATGCTGCATTAAACAGGCGAGCTGCAGGATTTTAAACACAATAGAAGAGTTCATGACAAATAAATACACAAGTTAACTTCTTAGCAGGAATGGTTGTCTCTACAACATTATCAGATTAATTACATAATAATATCTGACAAATTTGTAATTTTAAGGCAGTGTCACATTTTGATTTTAGTGCCTAAATACCACATTATACAATGAATAACAAGTCAGGTGACCATGAACTGTATATTCATTAAAAGAAAAAAACTTAAACCAATATAAAGTGATAAAGTTGCTTTTCAGGTTTGGATGGTTTTATGCTCAACTGGTCTCAGCTAAGGATAAAAAGTAAAAATCTTTGTTTTTTCCCCCCACATAATCACTAAACACATCATCCTAAGCCAAAGAGGTTGCAAAAAGAAAACCCAAAAACAAGACAAACAAAAAGAAAACAAATTGTTTAAAAAGGAAATTATTTCCAAAATCATGACAAATTTTAAACTGTGGTTTTTGTTTATAAAATGTTTGAAATAAAGTTAGAAAAAGCAGAAGATGATTGAGTACAGAGGACTAAATGGGGCTAGACACACTTATTGTGCTAAAGGCTAATTAGAACAGCTACAAACTGTTTATAAATCACTACTGCAGTAAGAATAGAGTCTAAGTTTTGAAATATTTTGGAGAAGATGTCAGGAGTGGAGATCCCATCTGCTAATTAGAAAAAAAAATACATATTTTTTTAAGTGTGGTGTACCCTTTCTTGTAAAAGAGTAAAGAATAAAAGTTTTAAATTGTTAGAATTCTGTTACTAGAAAGCAAAACAGCCGGTAGAAAAACTCTCAGTAATTAATGAAATCAAAGTTAAGGGAAGTAAGTTAAATCCAAATCAGCGAATAAGGCCAACTCTACTTCCTAAATTAGGATTTTTCCTTTTTTCGGATCTCTGGATTAAATATCCATTTGAGACTTTCCAAATTCTTTATATGGATTTAAATTAAATGAAGACATCTCACCAGTGAATCCACAGGCCTCAGCTAACAGGAAGGTGCTCCAAGACATGAGGAAGAAGAGGGCCGTCTCCAGCAAAGGAAAACAGTGCAACTTTGTGAACTTGGTGACGTGGATTCCAGTTAAAGACCATCAATTCTTTTGATTTTCATGAAAAAAAGACCAAACTCATTAGAAATAACATGACTCAGGCTTTTACAAATGGGTCAATCTATCCTGTACTACAAACAGGGAAGGATATGAGAGCTGTGACGACGCCTGTGGCAGCACCCATCACAAAGGAGCCGCTGAAAATCCCCAGGAAAATTCCCACAGATTTAAAGAAGGCAGAGGCATCAAACATGTGTGTGTTTGCGCCTGCAGGTTGGTACGCCATGATGGAGCTGAGGTGCAGAAACACACATAGAATATGCACTTTGAGTCAGTCTGCGTTTTAAAAACATAGCTATTTAAACGATCAACATTCACTTCTCTTTATCAGAGCTTACACAAAATTATACCATAATATTTAAAAAATAGATTAGTTAAAAGTGGAATGTGTGATAATCACCACTTTGGAAATTACCCATATTAACCACTAGAGGGAGGTAGAGTGCTGCATGTCAAAGGGAGATTAGTAATGAAAAGTGGTAATATTCATCAGTATTTAATTCATCAATGACTTACATACATACTGGTAGAAAGCTGTATTCTCTTAGCACCAACATGGATCAGTAAAATGGTTGAAAGAGACAAAATACCTGAATTCTTTAAATTAAAAGGTCAGTAGTATAAATAACATCTAAGGCAAACATAATAAATGTATTCAAGAAAAAACATCTAGGTTAAAAAAGAAGTGACATTCTCTCTGCAAGGTGGTTTAATTTAGAAGGTCATCGGAGACAATATCTATAAAATGTAACTGGAGTAGAATTCTTCGGCACATGGAACCACAGAGCGTAGAATGATTTTTCGTTTAAAACAATATTTCAGAAAATAAAGCATTGCATAAAGGGAAGGTTTTTTATTTTTTCAAGTGGGCTTCTAAGAGGCCTTTGCTGATTTATTTATTTTTTTCCCGTAAAACAGATGCCAGGTTGCAGTGAGTTTGCAGGAAAGTAAAAAAAAAAAAAAAAAAAAAAAAAAATCAATGATGAAGGGAGTCCAAAAAGCAAAGCTCTAAATTACAGTCCTGAAAGTCAAGCAACACCAAAGAGCTTCCTCTTTAGGTAATTTGGGTTAACCGTGGGGAGCTCAGAGGAGGGCCACTCCATGAGCAGTGGAAAGCCAACAGATAATCTAAAAAAAACAACAAAAAAAACTCCCATTTTTGCTTTTTTCTATGTATATTGACCACTTTTTTTTTTTGCCTAAAGGAAAGGGAACTATTACCAATTATATTCTTACACATCCTTAATATTTTAAAAAATGAGCTATATCTTTAAATCCTAGTATCTACTGAATAAAGTGATAAAAAAAAAACATGACTTACGAGGACAGCACAATGGCCACAGCATCATTCATGACACTTTCTCCAAAGAGCAGAGCGTAGAGATCCCCATCAGCATGGAGCTCGTTAAAGATGGCCAAAACAGTCACTACAGGCAGAGAGAAGGATTAAATAATTTGCCACAAATTAAGATGGTTGAAGGTTTGTGTGAATATCTTATTCTAAGTTTTACCTGGGTCAGTGGCTGAGATGATGGCCCCAAAGAAAAGGCAGTCAGTATAGTAGAACTTATCCGTCAGCTGTCCAACCGCCCTCATAAGCTTCACCACGCCATACATCAGATTCCTAGCGGAGAGGCATTCATGTCATCACAGCTCACACATAAATAAAATACAGAATACAGGTTCAATGGACAGAAATCAGAGCCTCACCCAATAAAGAAGCATGAAATTGCTGTGCCGAGAAAGGCGTAGGTAATGATGGAGCCCAGATTCCTGAAGAAGTGTCTCTGAAAAATGAAATATATTTATTGGCTTATGAGCAAAGCTGAGATGAGAATAAAGAAATATTAATTCCTGAAAGCACCAGTGATCAGGCTAATGATAAGCCTGACCTGAAGCTTGAAACCTTCAGGTCAGCGGCTGCCACGGCTCATTACACAAACACACATCCAGCTGTTTGACTGCTTTAAAAACAAACAGGCAGCTGAGCACAGACCATTTCCGCATCAAGCCTATCTGACTGCCGGAGCAAAGTAACACAAAAGCAGCTGATTCAGTTTATTTACAGGAAATTTAGGTCTTCGCCTGTTATGGTTGAACTGATCAAATTCAGTTGTTGACATTCTGAAGACAAGCCACAGCTTAGCTTAGCGACATCGGGCTATTTGTACAAACTATAGGGCCCTAATGGGCTTAGAAAGCTAAAACGCTGCTTTAACAGAAAAAAAAAAACCCTATAGTTATTACTGATAAAAAAGGACCTCTCCAAGCTGCAGTGACCCCTTATCCTTATTTTCCTGAGGACTGTTTTTGACTCAGCAAATTCCAAACTAAAACACAGTTACAAAAAAAAGAAAAACTCACGAGGGAACATTCACTGTTTACAGGGCCTACACTGGGAAAACGATCAAGAAATAGTTAAAAATATTTTAAATTAAGTGTATTTACCCTTATTTTGAGTAGGTAAATGAGATGGTTTGCCAATGGAATTAGTATTTTTACTCTTAAAATAAGATAATTAGATAATTTGACCATTAAATAAGACAATGCAATTGAGTTTTCTTATTTTAAGTGTAAATTGTCTTGTTCCATTGGAAAAATGTCTTTTACCTCTTTAATCCAAGAACAAATGCACTTTATTTAAGAAAAAAATGACTTATCTAGCTTGATGAACTATCATATAATCATAAAAAAGTTATGTATAAAAGTATCAAAAGTATAAAAATGTTGATTGGTGCTAAAGGGCTCATTTTATCCAAACTAGTGTCTTCATTTTTCAGTATGTAAATATTTTAAGATGCCAGTTTTTTTTATTATTTTGTTTTTAAAAAAGAATAATCTTGATAGAAAACAAGCTAAAGAGCTTATGAGTCCATAAGAACATGTAATCATTTGGTTGTGAGTCAACAGCCTAGAGGCAGAATAATAATAATTTAACTTTTTTAATCTCACTCGGGAGCAGTGGGCTGCCATTGTGTGGCACCTGGGGAGCAGTGTGGGGTTAAGGGTCTTTGCTCAGGGACCCCTGAGTGGCAGTCTGTGGGAGTGGGGCTTGAACTCAGAGCCTCTGGGAGCTAAGCGCAATTCTCTAACCACTAGGCCGCCATACCCCACAGAACCAGTTTCTTTTAGGACCCAAAGGCGGATAAATATGCCAAAATCTCTTAGTTCCTGAGGCACTTTTTACTGCCTGCCTTTAGGAAAAATACCATGTCTAAAGGGAAAACTGTTGAATATTGCCAATTAACCCATAAAAGCAAACTATTCACCTCGCTGCTATGACGCGACTTGCTCTTTATCATCACTTAACTGCTGAAGTCCTAAAGTTTTTATAGTTAAATCTTTGAAGTTCTGCTCACCTTCTTGAAAGTAGTAAAAGTTACACACAAGTCATTTTTAAAATGAGTGATAATAGTTTTCTCTAAAGCTGCCTCTACCTCACCTGGGTCTTTGCAACGCTGATCAAATTACTTCACAATACCTCAAACACTTTTCCTGTTAACTAGAAAGACAAGTTCAGCTGCGAGCAAAGATCCCTGGTTTCAAAAAAATACCAAACAGCCAAGATGCAGAAACCAAAGAGGCACCATGTTTATTAGTGTCCTAAACCTACAGCTTATGTCAAACTCTTCCAATCTCCTTATGCACGTTGGCGTTTAAAAAACAAAACAGAAAAAGAAAAAGTTGAGTTTTACTGCAACAGCAACCAGGTAGCTCTGCTGTAATGTCAGCTTCTTATCAAGATTTGCTGATCATCTGAGAATTAAATTTCAATACTCTAAAGCGGAGGTCTTCAACAGGGGGTCTGTAACCCCTAGGGCATCCACAGAGGTACTGCATGGGGGTCGTGAAAGTTTTGGTTGATTAGACTTTTTTTATATTCCCCCCCTTCAGTTTTTTCTAGTAATTGACATGTCTTTAAATCCACATTAACATGAATTCAACACACTGTAGTAAACAGATAAATGGAGGCAGAAGATGTCTTTCAGTCATCAATGCACACATTCAGCGACACACAGGAGCTCTTTCAAGCTGGGCACCGTTTCATTCACAACACCTGTCCCATCAACCAGGAATCAGAATCAGAAATACTTTAATAATCCCAGGGAGAAATTACTTTCGTTACATGACTCCATCTGTAATAGAGTGACTATAGGACCAGTTTGATAGAACACAATTTCATACAATATATATATAAAATTAGGCGGTCCCTGCTCTATCTCGCCATCAGTTAGGGGGTCCTTGGCCTGGAAAACGTTGAAGACCCCTGCTCTAAAGTGTCTCAAAGTGGTCAGATAACACCTAGCCTTTTAATTGGAACGTAGGTAATGCCTTTAGTTTTACTTTCATGTTTTCAGCATGCTGAGGTAAGAGAAATGGCTCCATAGTGTAATATTAAATCAAGTAGTGATATTGAAGGCCTTTTGCTTTGGCGTTGCCTGCACCACTTCTGTAGCAGTAGAATCTGTGTTTGAGAGCTGTGGTGGAAATTTAATGCCAAATCATTATTTCCTTATGGCATCACCTTTTTTCTTCTAGGTCCATAAAAGAAAAGGTAGAGTTGCAGTGCTGTGACTGGTGTAAAAACACTTTCTAAGTTAGCTGACAAGCTGTTCTACGATGACAGCAATTAGATCCCTGGTATACTCGTTTGTTTTTGGAACTTAGCATAATATAGCATAATAATGTAATGAGAATTTCATACTGGCTCAAGCCCAATTTCATAAAATGTGAAGCTAATTACCATTCTGCAAATTAGAAATAATAAAAAAAAAAATAAAAGTCAATACTGCATCTGTTGTCAGCTGTTTTTCCTGTGTTAGTGAAAATGTCACAGAGGAAGCGAAAGACATCTGCTCTAGACTTCCTCTCAGAAAGGACCCTTATGTTGACTACTGTCACAGTCTGGCCAGTGACAGACTTTCTTAGCGAACCATCTGTCAAGTGAAACACTGTGTCAGCAGACGCTTCATCCAGACTCCCCAACATCGTCTCACATGTCGAGTCGCTTCGTCTCAGAAGCAGATACAAAGGGCTATATTTCTGGCTTTCAAACAATGGCGTTGTACCTTTTTCAAGCTGTACCCAGCATGGAAAATAATCGGCGGCAGCAATATGTTAAAGAAAACCTCCGGATCGAAGGTCACCTGGAAATAAGAAGAGAAATTCGCAGTTAACTGGAAAAAAGGTAGCAGGGCGCAGATCTGATGACGGATTTTTGCCCTTACCTTACGCAGCATATCATTCTGCTCCACGTTGTGGATCTCTTTGAAGTTGATCTCGCCTTTCAGGGTGTACTCAAAGAACTTGCCGCTTACATTAAGCAGCAGGGTGCTGGAAGGTCCTTCCTTCAGCGAGCAGCTCGGGGGTGTCTTGTTGTGGTAGCTGGCGGCTGGAATGCCATAACGTAGGATCACACCGACCAGCAAACCTGATGGATCAGAACAATAATAGGCCCGTTCTAGAACATTCAACCCACATACAAACACTTATGTATTTCATCAGGGACATGCATGTTGTGTCTCTGGGGTCACAGTGTCCTGTTCAGGAAATGTGTTCATTATGATTGGAGTTTTGTCACATAGAGCTAGAATATTGTTAAACTGTGGCCAGAAATGCACGGACATAGTCTGTAACACGTTTCACAAAAGCTGCAGGATTTGAAAGATGCTCATTTGGCATAAGGGGCTCAAACCATTTAAAGAAAATATCCCCTAAGTCAATAAACCTGTAGACCATATTACCACTGTATCATGTGAATATCACTAATAATACTAATAATTAAACTAATAATAATAATTTAAACTTAACACCAGGCAGCATTTTTCCAACTTCTTATCGTCAGGTGTAAGTGTGCCTTGAAGCAACCATTTCCTGTTTATAGATAACAGAAGCGGCACCCAGGGGTTCAAAAGTTTCTGCATGCAGAGATGGTATTCTGAAAACCTTGTTTGTAATTTCTTAATATTAGAGCCACCACAGGGCTGTGTGCTAAGCCCGTTTCTCTACTCCCTCTTTACCCACAACTGCAAGCCTGTGTACGCGTCTAATCATCATCATCCATCGTCAAGTTTGCGGACGACACCACGGTGATTGGTCTCATCAGCAACAACGATGACATTGCCTATAGGGAGGAGATCGAGCACTTGGCCACATGGTGCACTGCAAATAACCAGCTCCTCAACACCACCAAAACGAGGGTGCTCATCATAGACTTCAGAAAAGATTCAACAGGCACCCACGACACCATCCACATCAATGCAATGGCTGTTGAACATGTCTCCAGTTTCAAGTTTCTGGGGACCCACATCTCAGCAGACATGTCCTGGTCAACTAACACCTCCTGCCTGGTCAAAAAGGCTCACCAGCGCCTCTTCTTCCTGGGAACACTGAGAAAGAATCAGCTCCCCTCAACTAACCTGGTGAACTTTTATCGCTGTGCAATAGAAAGCATCCTAACCAACTGTGTAACAGTG